CCAATGGTCTGAGGTGACCCCCTCCCCCCCCCAAAAAAGTCATGTGCTGAAAGCAGCCAATATGGTGAAAAGAAGTGTTTGAAGGGGAAGTAGGGGCTCAGTTTGAGGAAGAAGAGTTCAGCAGCTGTGGGTCATGCAGGTCTTTGGAGCCCCTTCAAAAGTGAGGTCCTCATTACAGAAGCAGAGGAAGCCACCGCAGAGGGTGTTTGAGCTTGGGGGGCTGGGGGAAGGGGGAGTCATTTGATCAGACCTGCACTGGGACTCTGCCATGAGGAAAAGGAGGGTTGGAAGTGGAAGCAGCGAGACCTGTTAGGAAGCTCCCACAGGGCCCAGGAGATGGATGCTGGGACCTGGCCCAGAATTCCGGCAGTGGAGACCCGTGAGTTGGAGAGCTGTTTAAGAGACAACACTGGGCCTCCGGTTGTGTTTAGGAAGTGAGGGAGGGGAAGGGAAGTATACAGTTTGGATAGACTGTCCAGGGGCCCCAACTTGCCCAAAATGGGCCTGAAGTGCAGAAAAGAGCAAGTTTGGGAGAGGAAACTTGGAGAGGTGACGCCCAGGTTTCTCAGGAGTCAGTTGGGTGGTGGGTTGGGCCGCCTGCAGGGCTGGGAGCAGTGTGGTGGGGAACAGGTTTGGGGGGAAGCCCAGCTCTTTCACATGCAGGGATCACATGCCCTGTGCTTTATGCAGGTTCCTGTGCTGGAGGAGGAGCCCTTCAAAAGCAAACACTGTTACTGCCTTCCAGAGGCTTGCCAGAGAGATGCTGGCAATGGCTGCCAGAACAGGGGAACCAAATGTGCACGACGGCTCCAGCAGTGATCACAGCAAAGGGCTCAGTCCCCTGACGGGCTTGATAAATGTCTGTTGTGTGACTGAATGTCCCAGAACAAGTCCCAGAGAAAAGCCATCGCACAGATCTCTATCCAGCGCCTTACTATGTGTCTAGCGCTAGCCCCACCTCAGGCTTAGGATGGAGACAACGAAGGGCAAAGATCAGCCCTTTTGCTCAAAAAGTGCGCACAGGAGTTAAGGAGACCGGTAATCAGAGCATCAGAGGACCGTGGGGCAGGCTGACTTATAAGGATCCCACTGGGGTGGCCAAGGAGGTGGGTGGAAAGGAGTCAGTACCCTGGGGGGGGGGGCGGTAATGTCACAGGGAAGAAGGGAGGAGGTGGCCTGGCTGAGCCTTGACCAATGCCTAGGGCCGGGAAAGGGGGGCAGCCAATGAGGGGTCACTCAAGTTCAGGCAGGGGCACCCCTGACAGTCTGGCCCGGGTAGCACCCTACACTGGCAGGAACACAGTCAGTCTCACCTCAGACACCTACATGCTGTGCTGATTTCTTTTTTAAAGCAATTAAAGTCCTATTTTTTAAAACAGTGGGGACATTTTCTCAGAAAGCTAGAACACAGCTCCCTAGTTATCCGCGAGGCTCCGTGCACCACCTTGCTTGAACCAGTTTTTCTACCGCCACCACCACCACCAAAATAAATAATAACTAAATAATTAATAAATAATAAAATAGAAAACCGACCTTTGTACATTTCCTTTCTTCCTGCAAACTCCCTTCTGTCCGCCCCACCGCACCCTAAGCCCTCACTTCAGCCAAGGCTTTTGCCCTTTTCCTAACAAAGTTCATTTCCTCCGCGTTGCAGGCAGCCGGGCCCAAGCGTAGGCTGGGCTCCCGCGCCCTTCCAGGGAGTTTCAGCTTCCTGATTCTAGGGCCCTTGTGAGGATGGAATCTGGGGGAAGAAAGTGTGGCACATAGTATTGGGGAGGCTTGCTTTTCCCATTTGGGGGCCTTTGTGGGGGCAGAGCTGGGAATGGAGAGTTTCTGCTCCAGCTCAGAAGCACCTCTGTACTAGCGGGGGATGGAGTGAGCCAGTGGCTCCCCAACCTCGCTCCCTAAGATAGGCACTCTGCTTCCTCCTTCCCACCACAGGCCTCCTGCTAGGTATGAACTCCGGGGAAAAGGGCAGGCGGCAGCTCGGCCCAGGCAGCTTCTCCTCCAGGCCGGACTCGAACTTTCCGCCCCGAGCGGGCAGCTGCTTGGCCCCAGGCGACCCTGCAGCATCGCTCGGACCCGGCGCCCACCTCCCCGGCCGCGGCCGCAGCGGCCAATCACAGAGCGTCTCCGCGGGGAAAGGCAGGAGGGCGCGAGCAGCCGCAGAGCGACGGCGCCGACGGCCAATGGGCAGCCGAGGTGGGGGTCCTCGCTCACCCCGCTGGCCAATGGGGAAGGAGTGGCTTTGGCCGAGGTCCCCATCCAGTAGCCGCAGGCTCTGGGGTGGCCGCGGGTCCGAGACCCCGGGGCTAAAGGAGACTTGGGAGAGGAGTTCGCTCACCCGCTCTGTGCCACCCGCCGACCCTCCGAGCGCAGCCCGGTCCTCACCTGCTGGAAGCGCGGTTTGCCCAGCTGGAAAGGAGGTGCATCGGTCGAGGAGCCAGCGGCACTTGCCGCCGCCGCCGATGCTGTAGTCGCTGTATCCGCCATGGCCACTGACGCCCGCAATCCCCGGCCCTTTTAAAATGTCCCTCCTCGGCCCCCGCCACAGCTACCTCTCCGGATTGGCCATGAGCAACCGCAGCGAGTCGGAGGCGCAGAGTGTTGTGGGGAGTGTAGTTTTTCTTGCCAAGACGCTGGACAGCCCTCGACTGCGGAGTTGCGCCCACGCAGAGCGGGATTGGGTTCCCGCTGCCAGTTTGCACACCCTGCGAGTGTGCGTGTCTCAGGTCCCCGCGAAGGGGACCACAGAGCGACCCCTCCCGGTCCCCTGCCCCGAGAAGTTTGAGTTGCTGCGGGGGGCGTCACTCCCGGAGCGCATGGGACCCCGGACCTGATGGGCCAGGACTGGACGCCGATTAGGGTTACTCTCCGAAGGCTTTCTGCAGGAGTTGCACTGCGGATACTCCTGCAGTTCTGTCCCACCTGGCTCCTGCCTTGTGCTTTGTAGCCACCCTGATAGTCGGTGCCTGGGGCATGCTGTGTGCTCCCCGCCCAACCTGGAACATTCTGTACCTAGAAAACTATTAACTGTTTGTCTTCGCCTGAGGCTGGCTCTCTTTATGGCCTCAATGCAAACATTGTGTTTCCCAACTCATGTCCCTACTTCTACAAAACCCACTATTACCAACGCCTTTCTTTTGCAGCCCTTGCATTTATAATTGTTTTGAGTGTCTTGTCTTTCCTACTGTAAGGTCCACAGGGCCGTTGTGACTTTTTGATTCACTGCTAAGTCCATGGTGCCAGACTTGGGAGAGCTCACAGTAGGGACTCAAATACAGGGTGTCCCCCAAAATGTACACACTACTAAAAGCTGATAGCTCCGTTGATGTTTCTTTTCCGATTTAACCCATTGGAATTAATATTCAAAGTGTGTATACATCTTGGGGGAACACCCTATAGCTGTTGGCTGAGTGAAATGCACAGGAGGTCTTAGGAGCCTTAGCAGCCTCCACTTCCTTTTGCCAAGAAAGATCCCTCCTGGGGCTAATTCCTGGGCAGGAAGAGAACTGGGAGCGGCCAGTGGGGCTCAGGGGGGTTAGGGAGCACTACAAGGACTTTAGGGATGGGGGTGCTGCAGATGGTAAAGCAAGGCACCAGCAAGGATAATGAACACAAGAGTACAGTAGAAATATTTAGTCTGACCCTAGGGAACCCCACTTTGGATCTGTCTTGTGGTGAGGTGCAGGGTTGCCTCATGCCTTCCCATGTGTTTCTTAACAATGTATGATCCATAGCTGTCAGTTCATCCTCCAGCAGTTGAACCACAAGACAGACGTTCCTGAAAGCTGGAGAGAAATTCCAGCTACTCCTGAAGAACCATTTGTACCTTGGATTTGTAGCTTACCTTTCCCTCCAAGGCTAAATGGTTTGAGAATAGGAATCAAGTCTTTTATCCTCTGTGTCCCCCAAGTATTCAATAACTGCTTCCTGGGAGTGAGAAAGGACTGAGTCCGGGCCGCTGGGCAATGCTGGGCCGCTGCCTTGATGTCAGGGCAGTGACAGTGTTACCCAAGAAGGCCACCACCTGCCTCCCCCAGGAAGCCTGCTCCACATGCTCATCAAACCAGGAACACAACAGAGCCACTTGCAGTCTGTGAACTTTTTATTCTTCATAAAGTGCTCGAAACATGAAGAGCAAGGTCTTTATAAACAGGAGTTACAACTAGGAAGACAAACGGCAAAGCAGAACTGTGCCTGCTCCCTGCCCACCCCACCTGCAGCCCTCTTCCAACTCATGGCCAGGAGCAGAAACATCCAACAGGAACCTGGGCTTCAACTCCAAACTCCCAGAGACATCCCTGGCCTGGGCTTTCTGGAAGTTCACAGATGAGTGGAAGGTCAGCCTCAGGGCCGGGACTGACTAGAGCCCAGAGGAATACCTAGTGCAGGAGTGACCCTCTTCCCCCAGAAGAGATACCTTCGATATTCAACCTCCCATGACCCCCCAAAAGCAGGACCAAGCCCTAGGTCCCTGTGGACACTCTCCTCCTCAGTGAGTGTGTAAGGTAGATCATGTTAAGGGGCTTTCCCCCATATGTGAGCCCCTCTGCTCTGTCCTGGCGGGAGACATCTCCCACAGAGCAAAGCTCCTTCCTGGGCTTTCTGAGCGATCCCAGAGAGTGACCCCACAGGCCAGCTCAAGAAAAAGAGGGATCCCCGAGGAGCCCTTACCTCCTTATTGGGTCCGAACTTGCCTCCTTCGGCACCTCCTCACCCCACAACTTGGCTAAGGCAGGGTGCCCCAAGCCACCAAAGGTGCCCTGCAGATGCCATGGGGAACCTGCTGTTTTCTGCAAGCAAACCAGCGCTGGGCCAAAGGGCAGACACTTGGTTCGAAGTGCACTACAGCCAAGCCAGTCAGGGCTACGGGGAAGGGACAGGTTGGGACGGCAGGTAGAGGACAGATGGGAAGGCTTTTTCCTAGGTATAGGCAGAGTGGACCTCCCACTTCCAGAATGTAGTTTTTTCATCCGGGATCCCCACTATTGGTGTTGAGGGAGTAAGAGAAGATAGCAGGTAGGTAAAGGGGGCAGCAGCAGGTTGGCCAGACCCTTCACTGAAATTAACTCTAGGGGAAGGCAGAGCAGCAACAGGGCTGCCCCCTCATCCATTTCCGCTCCTAGCATCCTACCAGATCCAGCCCCTTGTGCTCAACAGGGAGGGAGAGGGGCGCCAAACAGAGGGCGGGGTCTACATCCAGAAGCCCCCGACCCCACCACAAAAGGCACGGTTTAATCAGTTTCCAAAAGTTCAAATCCTGTAGCAGCACAGAGTTTTGGCATCTGGACAGGCAACGAGAACAGGGATGGAGGCTTGATCCCCAACAAACAGTCCGAAGCCCCAAGGCCTGGAGGGGTCCACACCTGCCCGGGCTCTCCCCACCTTCACACATGACACCCATGGACTAGTGAAGAGGAGGGCAGGGAGTGGCCTGGAGAATGCACAGTATCTCCTTCTGTCCACACCACATCCGCTTCTCAAACAGCTGGACACACACAGACTCAGGACATGACAGACAGGACATCAGACCAGCGGTGGCCAACAGGTGGTCCACGGACCCCTGGTGGTCCGTGAGGTTCAAAAGGTTGGCGACCACTGCACTAGACCATACAGGCTCCTTGTTCTCGGAGAACGACTTGAGGCTGAAGAGCAGGTGCCTGGTTGCCCATGACTCACAGACAAATTGGCAGCTTGGTCCCTGCCACAGCCCTAGTAATACCAGGAGCCCTCTGGGGGCTGGAGGAAGATGAAGAGGAAAAGCGTTTAGCTGTGGGAGAAACGGCTGACCATCCCTGTGGGGTAATAGAGTATGTCCCAGATACCACATCAAATTGCAGCTCACCCCTGCTGCCTTGAGGGTTAAATTCTTTGTTCTAATTTCTGGAACCCCCAAAGCTAAGGGGTAGGAAAATAGGCAGGTGGGTGAGACCCACCTCTAATCGGAGTCCAGAGGCCCTCCTTCCAGCAGCCCCAGTTGAGGCAGGAGGGAGGGGGAGCCAGGGGTGACAACCAAGGACAGACTCCCTGCCCAGGGAGTGAGT